CGCAACAGATTATCCTTTATATCGTTTGGATACCAAATACAGTAAAGACAGGTTCAAATAATTCCAATTACAATAGAATGACTTCCAGGGTAAAGCCAGTAGAATGATGAGATTTTGTAAGGATTAGTAGATTGAAGAGTGTTTGCGTGAACTTGAGTGTGCGACAGATGGGATTTTTGCAACAATGAATAATTCTTAGGTTTTCTTATGTTTATATAAGGAGTGTGTAAGGAGAAAGGAAAGAAATACGGTGCTTAACAGATATTTAGAGATAAACATGTTGGATATAAACATGTTTATAAGATTGGATATTTCTACAGTATGCCCATCCATGTTTATAAGATTCGTTGTCATCCAGATGTGCGCAAATCTCAACATCAGATAAAGCTTCTTTAGATGATTTAAAGATTAGATAGTTGACTCATGACCTTAGGCATGAGAGAGAAAAAACAGATGTAAATGGAAACTATTTGAATGAATAATTTCATGATACAATTATTTCGGTTTTTACGACAACTGGGCAAATAGACGTGCGGGAATATGATTAGAAATAAGAAGTTAGAGTTACTGACATATCACCTCTTTTTGGAAATCTCCTACATCTTAATAAGCGGTTTAAGATAATCATATTTAACAGATGATCATTTAGCACGGTACTAAGGTGAACACCTAAGGAAGCGTGGTACACTGCTATCTTTCAGTTTCGAGTGTTATTCGAATAAATCATAAATTAGTCCTTTATTGGACAGAAATAAAAAATCACATTCATTTGCGACATAAATAGAGAATGTTTGAATGTAATTCTGAAAACGGATCTGGACGAATTTCAATTTTCTTGAAGCCAGCATCGCCGAGCAGCTGTTTGGCCTTTTCACGTCCCCACATAGCACCAAGTCCCATTGCATCTGAAAGCATCCATGAAATAAGTTTGACTGATACAAAAATAAAGTATGAAAATAAGGTATCTAACAATTAAAACAATCGCGCCCAACTCATTCAGAGCGCTTTCCTGCTGGAAATTTTGCATTTCATTGTGCTATACGTAAATTCGAATATAGCTTTACAGCAACAATTTTTCATCTTCTCCGAAAACTTGGTGCTAAATTTCCGCCAATTCAATAAAGAATCCTGTTTCCAAAATCACCGTGAATGGAAGATAATTTAGAAAATGTTTCACTGTCCTGATCAGTCAGTCACTGGTGATGATCAGCAGTGAATTCTAACAAAATTTCAACGATGTCGAATTTTGATCCTACAACTATAAACTACAATGAAGAAGTAAAATAATCCAGACTAATATGTTAAAATAATTCGGAAAGATGCTTTTCAGTGAATGAGATTGAACTTGAGAGCCACACAGCCCTATAAAAAATGCCTTGCATGTTCTCTCGCACAAAATTTTTAAAAAATGCTCAGGAACAAAAAAGGACCATTTATTCACTCCTTTCAAGACTATTCATCAGTGGTATTGACAATATTTTTATAAACATAATAAATGACTTGATGGCAGTTACTGAGCCTTCGTCATTATCTTTAATCCATAACGAGAAGTACGATATTCGACAAAAAAACTTCCGGTTACAAAAAATAAAAATAAAAATATTCAATTTGGGGATTTAACAATATCGCAATTTATATAAGTGAAAAGGTAATGTTTACCTTCAGAGTTCATTCCGATCGGAAGGCAATGTGACAGTGACAAGCCATACATGAAGGTGGATGTATTCATTTCCTTATCTTTATAAACATTGCTTGTACCATCAGTTTCAAACATCGAAAATAGACCATCTGGTTTCAGAACCCGATATATCTCTTTCAAGCACTGAATTATGGAGTACAGTAAATTCTTTTTCTTCTCTTTATCAACAAATCTTTTATCCGACACTGTACATAAAAACGTATCCAGAAGTATAATCCCATAAAGGTAAGGCAGCAAAATGAAAGAAAATGGACCTACATGATCAGGTCTCATTTGATCATGACAAGCGCTGAACATCATCACCCAGTCAAACTTCTCTGTCCAGTCATCTCTCATCATCTGGCCATTCATTTGCATATATGATACATTATCGAGGCCAGCATTAGCTTCATCTCTTTTCTTATTCGCTCCAACAACAGCTTCGAGAGACAGATCGATTCCCGTGAAAAAGCATTTTGGGTAATGACTCGCTAAAAACTATTAGCATGAGTTCCTGATGTTAAGTATTACAACATAATCGCAAATAAATTAAATATATGGTCTGGGCACGATGGTGTTGATCCCAGTGGTGTTGGTGCAGATGAAAAAATTGTACCTAATTCCGCAATATGCATTCCTCGACCACAACCTACGTCAAGAATATGAATTCCACCCTCTTCCAGTTTGTTCTGCATCTCTGTTGCAGGTACAAATTTGCTGATAATATTTTCTTTATGTGCGGCTTCCGAAATTGATGCCATCGTTTTATCAAATTCATCAAACATTTTGTTGTCCATTCCTGAAAATATTTTCAGTTAACAGTAAGGTCCACTGTTTTTATTTTGCTCGTAAAATTTATGAATTATTTATCAACTAACAAAAATTACGGTACGGAAAATTTGTGGAGACAGCGGAAAATTAATATTAGGTAATGTTTACATAATAAGCTACCACTGCTCAATTTCTCATTGAAATTTGAAATTGCCTTCAAATAATAAAAAATTTTTTAAATAATAACAACACATGGAAAAAAGAGGTTAGGCGGATTGTCAGCACAAAATTAAAACATTTACAAAAAGTAGGGAAGCGATACCAGCATATTGATGCGCTGACATTTCGATAGCATTCAGAAGCAGAGAGATGGAAAAAGCGATAATATCAACAAGTACTGACGGGAAACGCACCTATAATTTGGGATAAAGAAAATGGAACAGCTGAGGAAAGTAGGATGCAATTGATCACGGAGAAATAGAATAGTACATGAAAATGAAGTTGTGAATGTGTCGCGTCCTATTAAAATAACTGTAAAATGCGTTTGTTTACGGCAAGCAAACCAAACATGCAAACAAAACACAAATAAGCTTCGAGAGCAATTTTTACAAGGACCAAACTTTTCAACGAAACAAACATACCTAGTGGCCCATCTTTCCTGAAGAGATCGATGACAGTAGGGTATGCCTTGGCGCACATGAGGACACACTGCTGGCTAACGAGCAATACATTCGGTTTATCACCACAGAGATCTGCAATGCGATCCGCTCTGATCCAAAATTTTTCGCCATCTTCGTTCACCTCAATAATCTTACCACAGACCATAAGACATAACCATTCGCGCACATAACTAAAATTTCCTAACTCGAAATTTCAAATACACAAATCAATATATATATCGGCAGTTTAGAAAGCGATAATACCGTTCTCTCATATCGGCTTTTTCAGCGACCGTTGTACAAGTGGCTGGTTCATTCTCTGACGATACGGCAGCAAGGGCATCGAATAACCGAAGCTCATGCCCCATAACAAGTCCAGCAGAGAGCAATCCATCATTCAGTATTTCCTATAGTAACTTATTATCGGTATAATTGAAAAGTCAACAAGATCCTGCAATCACTGTACCCCATATCCTCACACCTACATAAGCGACTCTATTGGCGAAATATAATGCGCCGCAGATGCATCACCTACGCTCTCTTCGATGTGGTTGGAACGGTACACAACAGCTTCAGTAATTCACCGTTCATAAACTATCATAAACTCCATCTCTACGAGGATATCATTCTAATTCACTACTGATACTGATCATAATGCACTATAAGATGAGCTGAGGAGGAAAGTGAGAGGTGGTGACAGCAAAAACGTCAAATGGCACTTACCAAGAGACGTTTCGAGAAATCCTCCATTGTAGAAAACAAGATGAAGTTGAAGTGATGATTTCGAAGTACAGGCTTTTAGAATAATGGATGAAGAGAAAAGACTGAAAAAAAACATGAAAAAGTAGAACATGACATGAACAGGGAGAGAAGCTCTACCAGTACCGTAAATAAATATAGAACAAAACTGCTTTCTGTTCCATATAAATATGGTGACTTGTTGTTGTTGCTGCTATTTTTTCGTCAATTTTCACAAACCAACTCATGCGTCATTAATGTAACCTTTTCTACGGGAAATCTACAAAGGTCTGAAGAGCAGTGAAATAAAGGTAAAAGCTGGTAAGGAATACGGTAGTCTTTCCAGATGGAAAATGCCAAACTGCTGAATAAATGTTTGAAAGAAGACGAAACGGGCAGGCATGGCTTAAATGGATCGATATCTTTTCTGCAGAAAAAAAAATGCAACTCTTCAACTGAAAACGAAAAAGAGGTTTTGTAAAAACATATTTTCAGATCATGGAATTGCTTAGAAAGGAATTGAAACTTTCTTGGAAAAGAATGTTGCTTTCCGAGTCTTAAAATAAACCAGAAAAAGACCTCGAAGAACTCATGAATCTCAAGGAATTAACAATTCCTTAAAAGTACCGATAGAAACTATGGAACAACGTGGTACAAGCGGTTGCATATTGGTCTGAAAAGTAGTGACGCAAACGGAATTTCGTTGATTTCAACGGGTCCGTGATTCAGTTTTGCCCTGAATGGAAGGACTCGTGTGTGGGGTGGGGTTGGTGTTTGTTTCGGGATTATTTTCCAGCAGATTAAGCTGTACGACAATTTTTTATTCCGGAACAGTCCGCTAGAATTACAGTCCAGTGGGTTTCATGGAAGGGTCTTTAGACATATGTTATAATGTTACAGCAGTTGACGCCTAATTTCCCAGTATAAAATAAAAGCATTATCATAGTTAGGATTCTGTAAATTTCCTTCCTAGTTAAATGCAGATTTTGGCTTTAAATGTATAGTTCTTTTTTTCCGAGTTTTGGTTATTTATTTTCATATATCTCTCATTTTTCTGTGTCGTTATGTTCGGTCGAATTCCTCACTGGTTTTGATATTACCATTTCGGTTTCACTTAAGCCTACCTTGTCATCTTTTTTGTCTTCTGGTCAAATAAAATGTGGAACACCTCAGTAGAACAAGTGCTTTATTTTGAATTAAGTGATGTAGTAATCGACATATCACCTGATTATCAGCACTAATATGCAACTCCATTTTGACGCTGAGATCCGAATAACCAAAGTTATCACGAAGTTATTATTAGCTGAGAGTTTTATTGAAGATCAAGTTGTAACGGGTGCTTCGTTGATGGGTTTCCTTTCCATTAACTGCTGGCTATAATTTAGAAATAGCCTTATTATTATTTCCAAAAGATATGCGGTATATTATTCTGAATTTCAATTAGCTTTTAAGGAACTAAGCCGAGGGGTTAAATGAAGCTGTGTGACAATCCTATGCTGTGTTAGGTTTTTTAATGATCGTACTGCTGCCTGTATCTGTTTCACTAATCGGTGGATAGGTGTTCTTTGCAGTTTTGCAGCACTGTGGTTTAGTTCTGATTGAGGAAGAATGCTTGTAAATTTACTTTAGAACTACGGTCACATTCATACTTATTGTCTACTTAGTTCTGTTGATAAGTTTCCGTAAACTGTACAGAATCTTTAAATTGATATTATTCAATACAGCTCATTCCTTTTCGTGTGATGCACTCCATCACACGAAAAGAAAAAAAATTTATCAAATAGTTTTTTTGAATTGAAATCTTTTGTTTGACACAGAGAGTTATTGTGAATAGCATCAGGTGCAGCTGGTAAGATACTTACATTCAAATTATTTCGTTTGATAGCTATATTAGTTTAACTTGGACTGTCAGCCTTAAAAATTCTAAGAATATCTCGCGTTCTTTAACGCTATCGTGTATATGACAAAAACTTTTGTAATTCAGAATGTCCGTATATCATTGTGTTTTATAGTCTTTCGCTTTTTCGGTTGCGGAGAACCTAGGTCAGTTCTAAGCATAGGTGGCTTTATCTCGCAGAGTCGAAATTTTAAAATCGCAATGTGCGAAATAGTCATACTTAAAGCTCCATGTTGTTGCCTTCATATTTGCTATCAAACCATATCTGTGCGGTTTCGTATCTTCTGAAACAGTTCTGCTAGTCTCGGCATAGTAAGGGTTTCAGATGAATTTTATTGCATAAAACATTGTGCCCCATTTCTTGAACTTCCTCTTGAACCAAAGTGACTTTCTTGAACTTCCTCTTGAACCAAAGTGACTTCCTCTTGAACCAAAGTAGTACATAGTTCGAGTTGAGTGAAGTTGTCTCAAGATTTGTTATAGATCGGTTCCGAACCAACAATCACCACATTATTTTCGGAGTACTCGACTGATTTCTGGTTTGAACAAAGCATATTGGTGTTTCGACATTCAAAATGAGTTTGTCCTGAAATCAAAAAAGCTCGGGAGTAACGATATATCCTTTAGTTATTATTTATGTTTTAGAGTTCCTTTTCAATAATATTTTTTCTTGGACTTGATTCGAACGACTTTCACTTTTCGGCTCGTTTAAGTTTCCTGATATTTATATCCTTCAACTTTGGTACATTAGTTTAGCTGAGAGCTCGCATTTTTGCATTTGCCAATGTTAAAGTCAGTACCTGTAGGTAAACTTGCATCTTGTAAGTATTGCTATGGTCAGAGGACTGAGGATATCCGACAATTATTTTTTACTTTGACTGTTTCGTCCTGAAGAAATTCTGGTAAAAAGTTACTAGCCGTTATCGTTCTTGCAAAGGGACCTCAGAATAGTTGCCAAACAAAGATGAATTGAATACTGAATTATGCACAGATGTTGCTTCACCAAATATTCCTGTATATAAAACATACTGAGGTTACGCGAAAATAATTGGCAAAACATAGTTGTGTGAATTTTCTGGTTTATCCATACATTATGAGCTGGGGAAAAATCCCACCAGCATATCGAAGCATTTGATAGAGCCATGTAATACATTTTATTTGGGTATCAACAAGTGATTTCTTGCATCGAAATTTCTGGACATCTGTCACTTAGAGTGATTCCTAATCTTTAAATGACGCCACTGGACGAGGCTGCCGACGCTTCACTACTTCCTTCCTCTTAGCAGTAGCCCGTACCATTATTGATTCTTTTCGACGGATGATGACCTAGCTGTCTTTATTCCTTTGTTCCACGTTTGCTTCCTATAAAATGCCATCTATGCGTTTCAGCCATTCTACTTCGAACGTGTGATTTGATTTTTTTGCATCCTTCCTGTTTACTTCATCCGAAAGGACTTCGTTCCTTTTAGCGCAATACTTCCTCAAATTTATGGTCAGTTCTACGTTTAGGTTGCAAAGATTTTTTTTTAGAACCTCTGTATCATATCTGAGAAGTTTCCAATCGCCAAACTTGCAGATTTGACTAAATATTTTTGGCATATTTTTTGCAAAGAAGTTTTGAAAGAGAGATATGGTACCGCTCGATTAATAAACATTTAAGTTATCATATACTGTTAAATTCAAATAAAGACGGAGCATTTCTTCGATCATAAGGTCGTAAATTATCAGGTAAAATTAGTACTGTATGCAGTGGATGAAGCTCTTATTTTGTTCACGGGAAATTACTGGTCGAAACAAAACTATGTTTCGTCACATTGAGCGTGTAAATTTTATAATTTCTGAGTGAGAAATGTAGTTGTAATCGAAAGGATTCTTTAAACGACTATTCTATAAAATAAAAAAGAAAAAACTGGGACAATTTACAGTGGTATAAGCTGATGTCGGATTTTTACTTTACAATACCTCAAAAGTGATGTCAATTACAAGTTACAGTTTAACTGAAGAACGATTTAGTTTGGAGGTGTTAAGACTCGTTTCATATTTCATTACACTGCAGTATTCCTTTCTGGATGGTGAGTGATTTTGTTTCGTATCCGTATAGAGTATAGACAAATAGGGAATTTGTGGAAGATCCATGACAAAAGTGAAATCCAGTAGGTCTAACAAAAATGTTCTAGGACAACATTTTTTCTTGTGTGTGCTTGAAATGTCTTTTTATTTATTTATTTTTTCACAGTATTAATCCATTTTGTTGATATTGAAATCACCTGACCGTAGAAGTGTTAACATTTACTGATTTCTTTTTTGTTTTGAATTCTGGTTTCTTGAGTGCCACATTTACTGCTGTTGAACGAAGACGGAAGGGATTCTTATATGTAAGCTAATTGGTAATTTCTTACACATAAACTAATTTTACGTTTTATTCCGTATGACGGTAGGTTTCCCTCACTTAT